TATATACTCTAAAAATTGCCATCAGGACCCACAGCTGATATTATTTCAATTAAAAGCCTTCTGGAACAGGAAAGTTTTGACCTGGCACCGAAATGTCATCAGCATTGGTGCCAGACGAATTTGAGTTGGGAGGGCATTCCATAGTCTGGGGGCAGCTGCCAAAAAGGCCCTTTGTCTACAAGCCGTCCCTCTTACCTCCTTAAGGGACAGCTCTTTCAAAAGGGCCCCCTGGCTAGATCTTAACTGCTGGGTAGGCTCATATGGAAGGAGGCGATCCTTCAGTTATCCAGGGCCCAAGCCGTTTAGTGCATTATATGTCAAAACAAGCACTTTGAACTGGGCCCAGGTAGGGCCATAGCTGGTACAATTTCCATAACTGAAGGAAGGCGCCCCTGGCCACTGAGTCCACCTGGGCTTCCAGAGTTAGACTGGGGTCCAAGAGCACCCCCAGGCTGTGGACCCTGTCCCTTAGGGGGAGTGTAACCCCATTCAGGGCAGGGAAATGTCCCTCCAACCTGTCCGGCGAAGCACCCACTAACAGCACTTCTGTCTTGTCTGGATTGAGTTTCAATTTATTAACCCTCATCCAGTCCATTATCTGGTCCAGACATGAGTTCAGCACAGAAACCACCTCACCCAGATTGGTGGAAAACGAGAGGTATAGCTGAGTGTCATCAGCATATTGCTGACTCCTCAGCCCAAACCTCCTGATGACCTCTCCCAGCGGTTCCATGTAGATGTTAAACAGCATGGGGGACAGTATCGAGCCCTGAGGAACCCCATGACATAAACGCCATGGGGCAGAGCAACTGTCCCCCAGCACCACCCTCTGGACATGGTCAGCTAGGAAGGAGTGGAACCACCATAAAACAGATCCCCAACTCCCAACCCAGCCAGCCTATCCAGAAGGACACCATGGTTGATGGTGTTGAAAGCCACTGAGAGGTCCAGGAGTATCAACAGGGTCACACTCCCCCTGTCTCCCAGCAAAGGTCATTGTACAGGGCGACCAAGGCAGTCTCCGTACCACATGTCTTTATGCTACTTGCTAGATCATGTCTAGGAAGGTGATGCTCAGAGTGAGATGCTGCTGGCTACCCTGCTGGCAGCTGAGGCTCAATGTGATTCGTGGGGTAGAAGGCGCAAGCTGCCAATGGTAAACAGAGCTGGGGAGGGCAGCTGCTGGTTCCTCATGGACTCACAGATTCTGAGGCTAGGAATTCAGTGGGGGGGGTTACAGTTGGAGTCTTCATGGGCTAGAATAGATCATACGTTGCAGGAGTGAGCTGCAAAGGAATATATGGGAGGAATAGCAGGCAAAGGAAAAGGATGCTAAGCCCCACTTTTCCTATCTTCCATATTTGTCCCTTTCAAAAGCCTCTTTTTAAGGGACATCTAAGGAGTCAGGAAGGATGATTTGGGACATCATGGGTGAAGGGTGCCACATGAAGACTGGTGAAAATGCTGTTTAATTTTAATTAGGAAGGGTGGTTTCTAGGCTTCTCAGTCTTAAAAAATGACCTCCCTTCTCAGGGTGAGTTTTCTCTTGGGCTTACTTCTGGTTGTAGAACCCAGCGAGAGAAAATGAATGTATCAGGTGATGGACAGCAGAGTTCAAACACACCCCCTTACCACTAACGGATTTCTTCTCCGTGAGCATTCCTGCTAGTTTATTAGCCTTATGAAAGAAGCATGAGTGGCAACCTCATATTTCTATCATAGTGCCTAGTTTCACCTTGAGAAGATTTGCTGATCTTCCAGGCGCGCTGTTCCTGGAGCTACCAATTAAAAAGACACATTGCACAGTTCTGTTGCCTTTCTCCTTGGGTGATTAAGGAAAAGGAAAAAAGACATGGTGGGAAAGTATGAGTGACAGGTGGAAGATCACGGCGGCTGCGCCCTCCTCCCCCTGCATCAAATTCCAAGAAGAAAAGATTGTGAGTGAGTGTTGTAATCTCCATCTAGAAACATTCTTAGGTTTTTGCCCAGGCACAGTGAGGCTGACATACCCTTCGCATGTTTGTAATCACAGCAGAATTAAGTACGCTTACTCACCGCACAGCGCTGTCCTTCAGAGTCAAATATGTGGACATACCTTCACAGAGAAAAGGGAAATACAACATACATGATCACTCAGTATCTACTTTGAAACATATCAATGAAACTTAGGTATGCAGTAAATTCAAAGCCAATACTGTGGTTGTCAGTTCAGAATCTGTTCTATACCCTTGCTAAGAGCTCCGGGAATACCGAGAAATGTGATGCTCTCCATAGGTGTATATTTTGGGCACAATTCTCCATATTAAACACAAATGTGCCTTTACCCTTATAGCTTTGTGTGGCCCCATGGATACTGATGATAAGAATCAAACAAATAATAGTAAATGGATACTGCAATCTTGCCTGCAATTGTGTGTGTTTAATCTGCTTTAGAATCATAAAAAATGAATGGAAATCAAGTAATCTTACTGGGAGCAGGATGGCAACCATCATATTATTATGTTCTTTTAAACCATGGTGGACCATGGTGGGGAACCTGAGGGCCTCCAGATGTTGCTCCAGCCCCAATTGGGGCATATGTAAATGGTCGCCAAAGAACATCTGGATAACCACAACACTTGCTTTGAACTATTCCTTCCCACCAAACTCAACTAAACGGTCTAAATCAAAGAATTTTTATGTAATGTCAGAGAGATTTTAAACAAAAAACAAAACAAACTACCTGACCCACAGGCATCAGCTTCCCTCAGTCACTGCCATGAGACCAGATCAAAAAGACCATCTTGTTTAAAATAAAATGGTGCCACCATTCTGCTCTTCTCTCTACAATGAGCTAAATGAAAGGGATTTCCCCCCTCCCCCTCAATCACAAGAATGCTGTACACATTACCTCTAATTGCGCTGAACTATCGGCTACATGATTTAAAGTTGAATAGACATTGCTCTGAGGGTGGTCACTTGTTTAAACAAATCACTGATCTAATGTGTTTCAGAGTGCAAAAATAAATGAATACCTATTGTTGGAGAAACATTGAGTGTAATATTCAAGAGATGGGTGTGAAGAAGCCATTTTATTTTTCAACAGATACAAGCTCCATTCAGGAATTACAAATACTGCTTCTCCTCCCCCCACGGAACATGGGAGAAGGAGAGTCCCTCTAAGCTGTTGACTTCTTCTCCAGAAGAAAAGCAATACGTTTATAAACCGGAGGCTTCTCTTTGTGTGTAAGCTCTCAGTGGAAGCAAGAGCCCTGATTTTCCAGGCTTATTCTGATGTGAAGAGCTTTCACATGGCCAGGAACCTCTTCTCTATAAACACACATGTCTCTTTACATATGGAGAAAATGATAGGCAGGGCTAGGCATTCCTCTGTTTGTTTCCTAGGTAAACGCAGGCTAACACCTGGAAAGGATTGTGGTGAACTGTGCAGAGGTGGAACTACTAATTAGGCACAGTAGAGCGACTGTTTCAAGTGGCATGTTCTTGACAGTTGGTGGCGCATGCCCTGCCAGCTTTGTTTCCTCAGCCTCTAGGCTGCTCCCATTTGTTGGAGATAGAAGTACATCTGTCTTCAAACGAGCTTGGAAACAACTAGCTACAAGTTGCAAATTACCTGAAAATTGTATTCTTGAAGGCTTTCATGGGCGGAATCCGATGGTGAGTTTTCTGGGCTGTTCTTAAGATTTATCTTCCTAACGTTTTGCCAAAACAAGGCCAAACAGCCCCAAAAAACCACAACAGCTACCTGAAAATTGTTTATTTTTCGTAAGAAGATCCGATGGTGAATTTTCTGGGCTGTTTGGCTGTGTTCTTAAGGTTTTTTTTCCTAACGTTTTGCCAAAACACGGCCAAACAGCCCGGAAAAACCACGACAACTACCTGAAAATTGTTTATTTTTCGTAAGAAGAGTTTAACTGGATTTTTCCCCCAACTTTTATGCCATTCGCTTATCATTCCATTTTAAGAGTCTCGTTTCCTCTTCTGTACTTTTGTATTGTCAAGGTGTGGTATCTGGACAGGCCACTAGAGGGAACTGGGCAGTATTTCCCTATACAGTAATTATTTTTTGGCCTGCTGGCAATACTATATATTAATAATGCATATTGTAACAAAATACTTTTGTGAACTGAGCAACAATAACAATAATAAGCATTTGGCTGCTCAAAGCAATGAGTAACTTATGGCATATCTTTTTAAAAAAACACATTCCAAGCTTTCATGCTAGATCTTCTGATTTAGATTATTGACTAGAGTTCAGAAAGTTGCTCTTAAAAAGTAATTGGTTGCCATTATAGTTCCAAGGCCTAGAATTAGTTAATCAAAGTTAACGTTAAAATTTTTTAAAGCAATACTTTGTTTACTAGAGTAATTATTTGTATTAATTGATCCAGTCAACAAACCTGAAAATGAGAACTTGTCAATAGGTAATTTAGTTACTTCTGTTAAAAAAAAACTACCACTGGCCTGTGGTACAAAACATACTCTGCTCCTCTCCACCTTGTCATCCCCTCAACACCTAGAACTGAGAACAAGACAGTAGTGCCAGGAACGGCGTAAGCGATCTCTTCCACCATTTAGTGAGATTGCACATACCCCCAATTATCACATTAACTAAAAACCGAGGAGTGAAGCCATTCCTTGTTGAATTATGACTGTGATATAATATAATTTTGTCCTTTGGAAAGGAGCTAATTATAAGGGGCAGGGGGAGAGGAAGGTGTTCATGATCAAAGCCGGCCAGATTTTTTCAGAAAGTGCCATGTGTTCTTCGCCCCACCCCTGCAAGTATGAACAGCCCATGAAGCATCTGGCAAAGCAAAAAAAACAACAACCCAGATTATACTTTGACTTGGAAAGCAGTCCACAGACAAAGCTGTTCTTCTTTTCAGCTGTGGCACTCATACTGAGGAGGAAAATGAACATGAACCCCCATCCCAAAAACCACCTACAAAAAAAACGTCCTTTGAAATGCATGCTAATGAAGCCCAAAGGCTCAAATATGCATTTGGAGCCGGGAAAACTCCAGGCAGGGGAAGGGTGAACCTTGTACTCTTTCCACTCCAAGGAGGACATCCTTTCACAGCATCGCCTGGCTGTAATAAAGGAGGAGGAGATACCCAAGAATGCAGCTAATTAGTCTGGACATTTTCTTCTGAGGAAGCAAGAAATATTTAGCTCTGAACACAGCTGATATGCTAAACATCCTTTGAAATCTGCCTTGTTTCGTGCCAGCCTGCCTGTGTCCCAGTTTACCATCTCAGCTGCAATTTACATTTTAGAAGAAGGAGCCCCATTAGTCTATGCAAGCCTACTAGCCAAAATCTAAAGACACAAAACAAAGAAAGACAAAACCAAGACTGCTATATTTTAATGTGAGTACTTGTGGGCTTCTCCACGAAAACTCACATTAAAATATAATACTCAGTCTTTAAGGTATCACGTGTTTTTGTCTTGTTTTGTTGCAATTTAATTTTCCACAGAATTCCAGGATGGGATGGGGTTGGGTGAAGCCTTCTTCTCTTAGTGCATTTAATTCAAAGGAATACTTTTGTGTATTCCCAACACAACATCAGACTTACTGACAATAAAGATGGAAGACAACAACAGTTACGCTTGTAGCCATGAGGAAAGAAGGAGAATACCTTTGTATATTCCCCACACAATGTCAGACTTAAATAAAGATGGAAGACAACAATAGTTACGCTTGTAGCCATGAGGAAAGAAGGGGAATTAATGTGGAACAGATCAGCGCACGTTAAAGACATATAGATGTTAGAAGGTTAGATGAGAGTTTTGGACTGTAGCTCCCAGAATTCCCCAGGCTACATGGCTAAGGGAATTTGAGAATTGTCAGATGTAAAATTAATTTTGCCAGTGTTCTATATATGTGAGTTTCTGCCTACATAGTGTTTCATGGGAGTCACACACACAAACAAGCTCTCTCTCAGCTCCATCTTGTCCTCTTGCCTGATCCCCTACCTTCTCAAAGAGCAGAACCAAGGAATTTTACCATTATTTAATAATGTGTTGTTTATTTAATTTTTTTCTCTATCTTTCCTTTAAGATCAAAGCAGTGAACAATTTCAGTTCAGTTACTTATTTATTCTTTAACAAAAAGTAATTCTTCTTTTGCCTCATACCTTTTCCCCACAAAAAACCCTGTGAGGCAGTTCAAGATGATAAAGAGAGAGATGCCCAAGGAATTTCTTGGCTCAGTCGAAGGTTGAAACTGGATCTCGTAAAACCCCATCTTAACAGCCTGATAACTAGACCACACTGGCTCTGAGCAGAGCATCAGTAATAATTTCACCTCGACCACATAGCTAAGAAACAAAACCAGCTCTTTTTAATAAATTTATGTGTGCAAGACCCTAGGCCACCTTGCAGAAAATCTGTGCATCCTCTCTCCCCCTTCCTCCTTATACTTAAAGAGAAGATTATGGTGAGCTAAATTAAAATGGAAACTGTTTCCTGTGATGAAGCTTAATTTCTGTTCTGGAGAGGTTAGTTGGTGTACTGCTTTTTGAATCAGTGGGTTCTGAAAGGTTGCTTTAACGTACATGCATGTGCACCACATGTGTGTGGGTGTGTACATGCATGTTAACATACACACTCACATACTTCATGGCAGACTCTGCATAAGCAGTTCCTACATTCCTAAGAAGTGGACTTGTCCATGAAAGCTCACATTAAAATATAACAGTCTTCAAGGTGCCACAACGTTTTTGTCCTCGAGCCAGAGGTTGGGAGTTCAATCCCTCACTGTGCTCCCTTGAGAGGGGCTGATGATCCACAGAGTCCTTTACAGCTCTGCAGTTCAAAGGTGGTGGTGGCGGTAGTGATTGAAAAACACCAAGCACAGTCAATCAAAATTAAGTGATTGAAAAACACCAAGTACAGTCAATCAAATTATAAAAACATTGACTGGTATTATATAACAGATACAAGTTTTAACCAAAACCTGAAGCATCTGTTAAATGTCAGCTCAATGTGTATGCTGTTCCTAATACTGCTGTTTTTTGCATCTGTTAAATGTCAGCTCAATGTATGCTGTTCCTAATACTGCTGTTTTTTGTATGAGCTCTGATGGTGTTATTTCTGAGACCCGCAACGACTTCTAATGCTTTGTGAAATTATTGTTGTTTTGTTTTGCTTTGTTTTGTTTTTGCCTGCCAGACTACCACAGCTGTCTCTTCTAAAACTTCATTTAGTGGGTTATGATTTACCGGGATTGTCTCTAACAGATGCTGCCTGCTGTATTTCTGTACACACTTAAGGACAAATCTTATTGTGTGAGTTTAAAACCATCCAAAGCACTTAGGGACCTTTTCCTGAGCAAGAGGATTTTGACTGATCGATAAGGGGGGATCTCTTGCAACTATGTCTGTCACTTCTAATTCTCCCCTATGCTGACCTGTGTTACAGTGCAGCTGGTGAACTGTGACTTCTAAAAATGTGATTTTTAAATGAAAACTAACCATCTGTTCTGAAGGAATTGTTTATTGCTAAAACTAAAAGAATGTTGGGAAGAAAAGCAAGTTGATATGCTATCTATGTTTATGGTTTGTGATGTCTGTCTAATACTGCTGGTTAGATGCTTTAATCAAGAGGATTAGCTGTTTGTTCAAACCTGGGAGGCCAACAACAATACTGAACATCGTACAATGCTTGATCAACTCCTGGCTGCATGATTGTTTCTTTTTTATGCTCATCCCATATCTCCATGCATAAATGGTTCTTACCATTGGGAAGAAGTTGGGCAGTACTACAGGCTGGTCAGATACCTAAACAAAGCTTTGTACATGAGTTGCTGCAAGATGACAGATCTACCTGCCACTGGATATTGGAACAACCCACAACATCAGCTGGATACCAGCTTCCTCCCTTTCTGGTCCAGACATTACATACTGTAACATTTCACTTTGCCAGGCTTGCACTGCATCACAGCCCAAGTGGGATAGGACATTATTTTTGAGATAAGTCTAATAATATGAAAACAATGCATTTTCTTCTCTTTGCAGAGCAGAAACAGAGAGAGGACTTTCAAGAAAACACATCATTGAAGGTACATAATGATTTTTATAGCCTTCAACATATTTTATGTACATGCAATCATAATTGCAATAAGATTTAGTAATCTTATTTTGATATTTCAAGCGAAGAAATGGAAGTGATGAAATGGTGGCCTAAGGCTTAGTAAGTACAATGTTTAGACGAAATACATCATGAATTGCTGTAGAATAGCAGGCTAAGAATGGGTGTGAATTTTGTTTGATTGTTGATCTTTTTGACAGGAATTTTTCAAAATTCATAAACCTCATCTTCAGAATGGTGGAAAGAACATGCAGATGTGAAACATTCCAATGTGAAGGAAAGTAAAATTGAAAGATAGCCTATTTAAGCAGAGCTTGGAATGTTTAGCATCCAAAAGTCTGGATTTTTTTCAATAACTGTGGGTGTGACTAGACAGTGAAGTTGGGCTGGACTAAACAGAGTCACTTGGAAATATGGTCTGAGATATAGAATGAGCCTTGCATCCACACAGAAGGATTGGATAGTTTTGGGACAGGAATAGAGATGGGCATGAACTGGAAAACCAATGCTTCATGGTTCGTTGCTAAACACATATCACGAACCACCATGAACCCTGGAAAAACAAACTGATTTGTTGTTTATGCCTAGAGGGAGCTACCTGCTCAAGATGTCTAACACATCTGGAAGGCATCGGTTTAGGAAGGCTGCTCCAGGGGTACCTACTAGAGCAGGCTGTACTTTTCTGAGTGGTGTACCATGTTCGAAATCACAAATACATCACGGACAGCTGTATATTTCCTTCTCTAGATACAGTATTCCTATCTAGTGACTCGCTGCATGGCAGGGCTTAATTATATGGAAACACCAATGCCGCATATTGGGGTGGTGGGAGGGATAGAGCTGGGAGAGGGATATTGCTCTAACATAATTTGGATTGGATACATGAACTCTGTCCTCTGAGGACGTGATGTGACAGTCATAACAGAATACAACTGATAGATGCTTGTCTGTTCCATTCCTATCTAGTGACTCGCTGCATGGCAGGGCTTAATTATATGGAAACACCAATGCCGCATATTGGGGTGGTGGGAGGGATAGAGCTGGGAGAGGGATATTGCTCTAACATAATTTGGATTGGATACATGAACTCTGTCCTCTGAGGACGTGATGTGACAGTCATAACAGAATACAACTGATAGATGCTTGTCTGTTCCAGTCCAAATTTAGAAATCACAAATACATCACAGACAGCTATATATTCCCTTCTCTAGATATTCCTATCTAGTGACTCGCTGCACGACAAGGCTTAATTATATGGAAATGCCAATGCCGCATATTGGGGTAGTGGGAGGGATAGAGCTGGGAGAGGGATATTGCTCTAACATAACTTGGATTGAATACACTCTGAAATAAAAACTATGCCATGAACTCTGGCCTCTGAGGATGTGACGTGACAGTCATAACAGGATACAACTGATAGATGCTTGTCTGTTCCAGAGGGATAGAGAGAGGGATATTGCTCTAACATAACTTGGATTGAATACACTCTGAAATAAAAACTATGCCATGAACTCTGGCCTCTGAGGATGTGACGTGACAGTCATAACAGGATACAACACAACTATGCTTGTCTGTTCCAGTCCAAATTTCTTTGTAATTAAGCAAAAAGCAAATCTTACAGAGAGCCTTGACTTCTGCATAAGTCAGGGATTGGGTTATTTTTAACAGACAATCTTAACATCACCTCTCTATGCTGCACATTTAAAGATGATTCAGTCCCACTTTATTTCTGAGCCATCAAGTTCCTCGCCATGTGCTCCACACCTCCTTTTGACTCTTTCTAATGTTCCTGCATTTCATTTCCAGGATTAAAAGCCTCTCTCCAGAGACTGCAGCTTGAATACGTGGATGTTGTCTTTGCCAATCGGCCAGACAATAATACTCCGATGGAAGGTGAGAAAGGGAGATTTAATAAAAGCTTCTTTTTTTTTTGCTTGATTGACCTTGGCTTATAAGCTTATGCTATGACAGGAGAGAAAAATGATCCTCCTCAATTATTCCAAATAGGGAAAATGAATTCCTCAGAGTTGTTGGTATTTTGACTCTGTCTGTGTGTATGTATGAGTGCACACACTCAGTGCAACAGCAGGATATATATGAATATCACCCCAGGGCCATGATTATAAGCAACTTCCACCCAGTTCATTCCTTGTGTGTTCTAATTTCCTTTTTTTGATTTAGTGTAGCAATTTTAGATTGGCTTCAGTTCTGAATCTGATAACACAGTTTCTTCACCAGCTCAAGTCAATGTACAGTTCCCAGTGACGTTGACTAAAAGCTGGTATTATAGGAGAGGTGAACCTACAGATGTTTTTTGACTACGACTCCCATCAGTTTTCATTGGCATCGTGAGGGATCACAGGAATTGTAGTCCAAATACTGTAAATCGAAAGGAATCCATACCTTCCCCACCCTTGTGCCAGGAGGAGAGAGGTAGGGTAAAAATATTTTAAACAACATAAAATAAATAAAAGTGCAATCAAGAGGCGGTATTTTCTCTTCTTCTTGTCTACATATGGGGATAGAGATGGAGACACAACTGTAATGCCACATATTTTCTCCAAGCATTTTCCTCCAGAGAGATAGAGTCACTAAACTGCCATTAGTAGCTGCTTTGTTCACTGGGTGATTCAACACAACCAGATGGTCCCCATGGTAACCCCTTCTAAATGGCATTGTCAGGATGAAAATTATTCATGAGGAGGGGGAAGTTGTTGGCAGTATCCAGTGGCCCCGAGTGTCTATGTTGTACTGCTATTGTAGAAGTGAAGGCTCTGGTACTGATGGCTCAAGCTCATGCAAAGATGTCAGTCAACTCATGAACATTCCAGCTGCCCAAGGATTATAGCTGTCAGCATGTTTGCCGAGGAGGTAGGGAACTGGCACATAATGGAGAGGCTGAAGCAATTTCATGATGCTTCAAGTCCAGATGGTCTATATGCTATGGCAGGAAGAAAGAATGTAGGCACTGTGAGGCATCTAGCCAAGAAATAGTTTGACGAAAAGACAATACAGAAGTAGCAGGACTGGGAAATGAGTCACTTATGGCATCATCAAGGTGTGCTAAGATGGTGAGCACTTTAGCTATATTAAGGTGCCTAGTTGTAATGGGGTGTCCTGGGCAGCAAATATATTTGCACACATCCACAGAGAGAGAGAGAGAGAGAGATTCTAATTTTGCTTCATTGTCTAAAGGTCTAGGCTGTCATGAATAAGGATTTGAAATCAGTGTTGATCTTACTGAATTTCTTCGTGTTCCACCAGCAGTGTTGTTCCTTTCCCATTCCGTATGAAGTGGCGAGATGCTTTGGAGCCACCTATATTAACTATCACAGACTTCTGAAATACAATACTTTCCCCTCCAAGGAAAGAGAGAACGGGTGGGTCATGGCTTCCTCACCCCTGCTTTACCAAGGAACAAATATCTATCTACCATTCTTTCTCTTGTTTATTTTATGTTTATGCTACTTTTATTCCAGAATTGGGACTCAGCAGCTTACAGCACAATTTAAAAATAGCACTGTCAGAACACAATAAATACAAATGTTAAATTCTAATTGAGCCCATTACGATATTAAAACACAATCTAAGTTAAAACACTTTGCAGCATTATGGTTAAAATAGAAGTTATAACTCACATTACACAGGCTTTTTTGTTGCTCATATTTTCTGGGGCCACAGTTAACACAGCTGCAACGCAGTGCCAAATTTCTACGCTTTCGCTGATGTTTTTAAAAACTGAAAGGAATATTTCTTTCCTGTGACCACATACAGTATCATCATTTCCTACCTGTGGATTAATCCCTGTTTAACAAACACTGGGTGAACTATATGTGAGCCATGGCTTGCTTTTTCTGTCTGAGCCCTCCCATTGCTTTTCTCTCTCTTCCTCTCTGCACACACAGACTGCAAATATTTTTTTCCACCATGTCAATTAATCCTTGTGTAGATTAACCTCCATATAACAGATTGCAATGCACGTTACAATCCTTCTGGGTAAATTGGAACAAATACCAATATCAGCTTCTGAAAGGTGGCTGTGATGTGATGCTCTCTGACAGTACCCTATGGTTATAAGGTTGAGGGCTTTTGCTGGAGACAGAGAGAGGTCCGTATCTGCCAGCAGTTGATGAGGTTACAGAGCATAATACGCCTTGTCTCTTGGAGGGAGACATAACCTTTCAGCCCAGTCAATTGTAATGAACAAGGGGAGGGAAAGATTCTGCAATATCGCATAGTTGATGTTGTTTGAAGCCAAGAAGTGGCTACCAAAGGAATAGAAGTACTTACATGGGATTTAAACCACTTGAATTACAGTTTCTGTCGGTTGGTTGTGCTGCTGCTGAGAGGGCCCATTTCCCGGACCAGATCCTGTCAGCCACAGATAATATGCTCATGTAAATGGCCTTTCTGCCATTCCATTTTGCCCAGAGCTAGTTTTTCTCAACACATGTGTCTGCATTGATGCAGTTGGTTGTGCTGATGCTGAGAAGACCCATTTCCCGGACCAGATCTTGTCAGCCAGATAATATGCTCATGTAAATGGCCTTCCTGCCATTCCATTTTGCCCAGAGCTAGCTTTTCTCAACACATGTGTCTGCATTGATGCTTGTTTCTTGTAGCTAGTAACCTCTTGCTTGGTTTTGTCCCTGATTGTTCTGAGTCATCTGTTCCTGCTTTTCATGCATTTCCATCTGTGTAGGGTCACATTTTGGGATTCTCTGTCCCCAGCTTTGCAAATGTGTCTTATTTAGAGTTTAAGGCAGCATGCCTGAGAGGAGAAGGAATATTCTATGATTTTTCACACAGAGAGACACAGACACACACAGACACACACAAACATTGCAACAGCGCAGAAAATCCCTGTCCTGCATAAGAGGATTTTCACAGTTTTGACAAGAGAGCCTACATTGCTTTATAGTTCATTCTGGAATGTAAGGAAGCCATGAGGATGATGCAGCAATGAACAGGGCAGCCACTTATGCATCACCCAGAAAAGGAAAGAAAATACTGTACTACTAGAAATACTGTATGTCTTTGGAAAGGAAGACAAAACAGGTCACAGAAGTCTGTAGAATCTGTACAAATGTGTGCATGTATGCAAAATTACAACCAATGCTTATGATTTAATCAGTAATATCTGATGTAGGAGTGGGAAGACAGTGTCTTAATGATCTACACCCCTGCCCCAGATTCAAACTGCTGATGGACAACAAGGGCTTCTAATCTTCCTTATGGTTTGTTATCATGATATGGAACTTCAGGTTGGATCACTTGTCAAATAAAGAGTGCCTTCGGGTACAGGACGTAATGGTAATTCTGTTAACTAGGATACACTGCTACCCTACCTGTACATCAATTCTTTCTCATAATGACAATAAAGGAGGATCACCTATGGAGGAAGAACTGAGGAGATGGCGGTAAGGAATAAATGTAACACCCGCTTTGCTGCTTCAATATATTATTACATTTTTCAGATACTTAACAACAAGGACAGCATGCCAGGAGTCCCTTCTTTCAAGAGAAAAAGGTCAAGCAAAACTATCTGCTCCAGCAGTACAAATCATGGCTTACACACACTTTTCATTTAAAATAATCCAGTGGGATTTGTAATTTGTTTGCACAGAATCTCATTCCTAATGAGTTCCAAAGTCTGGGAGCAGCTCCACAGAAGAATCTAACATGCAAAGTGAAAATAAATAAAAAAAAATGGCTTTCTGTGTAATCCTGTAATAATCCACTCAGAAGTACTGTATGTTGCATTGTTTTAACAGGGCTTACTAAGGAAACTGGCCTAGGATTGCACCCTAATAGACAGTTCCCTTCCATGAATCCCAGTTGGTTATCCATTTAGAGTCAAACTAAACAATATGCATATCTTGTATTTAGAACTAGTGTTCCTTAAATGGTGGGGGAAAAAATCTGTTTGACAAACATGGGCTTTACCTTACCTCAGTATCTTGCATTCTTGAGTGCTTTATTTTGTGATTGGTCACTCAGAGATAAACATGGGTATAATTTACAATTGTGACTGCCCAGGCTCCTAGCTCTAAGTAAATCCTGTTTGGGAGGGAAATGGACAACAAATAGGAAACATGGGTATCCTTTAATGTATAGTTTGACTCCTAGTATGCTGTCCTTACTTTTGAATTATTAAAGCAATTCAATAATGCATTGAAGAAGCAAAATCTCTCGTTGCCATCTCTTCAGTTCTCCCACCGTAGGCAATCGTGCATTTTTTCCCTCAGGAACTCTATGGATTGCTCTGCAAGTAAACACCGCACTTCTTCATCTGTCAGTCTTGACAAACCATGAAGAAATTCTTGGAACAAAAAGTGATCCCAGAAAGCAAGAGTTCATATGATGTGCGAAGGATTCACATAGATATTAGAGATGAAAAATGCTAAATTCACTATATTTTGTCAGGGGCATTGGTACTGTCAACATATGTTTACACATTTTCACTAAATGATAATTGAATCAAGATTTCAAAGTGCTTATTTTAGCACACACAGGTCTACTCTGCATCTTTCAGATGAACAAAGGTGGACTATTAAATCAAGGATGCATGGCAAAGTCAATATTTACAGGGCTTTCATCTTTTTGTTAGAAGTAGCAGTAGGATTATTAGAAGTTTGCAGTGCAGGTAGACAATATTATTAATTTAGAACTAGCCAGCAAAGGTTGGGGGGCAGTTATCTGTCAATATTTATATGCCAGTTGATAAATATCTGTTGCCCTAAAGTTCGTAAAGTCTTTGACTCACAATTGTTTAGAAATTCAGCATGGAAAAGCCACAGATCTGGTGTCAGTATGACTTTCAGTTTGGCAAAAAATATAATGCTTCCACTTTCTAGTTTTACAGCCAGCTATGGTGCTGCTCCATCTCTTAA